TGATTTCTACTCTCGTAGGCTTTCTTTTGTTTTATTTAGGAGCTCATTGAGCCGATAAAAACGAATGTAGTGGATCAACTTGTTTATTCTCCGGAGGTACTTTGGTTGGCTTGTGATTAATGCTTCTGTTAGGTTTGGCTATTTATTTTTTTCGGAAAGATTCGGGAGAAAGCGGGCAAACGGAAAGTGGTGGGGGATATTCGTTTTTTTTGTTTTAAATTGGAATTTTGAAAAGATTATGGGTTAATTTTTCTAGAAAAAAATTGGTATAATAAGAAGTAAATATTATGACTAATTGGAAAAAAATTCATCCAGACTTCACTGAAGAATTGCAGAAAGAATGAGAAGATGAAGGGTTTGATTATGAGGAATGTAAAAAATGAATCAGTAAGAGTTTAACTCCTAAAGATGCCAATTTAGTTATTTACTATTTAAAAAGGGAAATAAAGGGATACGACGCAGTGCGATATTGCTACTTAAATGTTGAAAAATTAAGAGAAGGATATGCTAATTACCTAAGATTAAAAGAAATTCATGATGGTTTTACCCCTCGTTTCCAAGAACTATGAGAAGATAGATGGAATGGCCATGGATTTACCATTGAGGAAATTGAACAATGGATTAAAAAAGGTCTGTTCCCCAACGAGTATGATTTAGCCAATTATCTAAAAAACAGAGGATACAATCCCGAACAGGAATTTGATTTATCTAATTTAAAGTTAGAATATTCTCAAAACTTAGATTGAAGAAACATTCATAAAGGTTTTGGAAGTGCCTTTCTTGGTAAACATTATGAACAGAAACGATGAGAAAACTCAGGCTTTACTTATACAGAAACTAAAAAATGAATAGAGTTGGGTTTTAGTTATTATGAGTCTTTTACAACCACAAGATGAAAAGAGAAAGGATTTAATTGTGAAGAATTTGAACGCTGAGTTGATGCCGGCTTTACCAAAGAAGATCTTGAAAAAATTCAAGAATGGAAAAAAAATGATTTTTTTTCCAAAGAAGTTAAACAATGAACAGAAATAGGTTTTAGGCCTAGTGATTATGATAATGTTAAAGAGTGAACAAAGGAAGAGTTTACTATTGAAGAAGTTAAGCAGTTTCTCATCATCGGATTTCGGAAGGGTGATTATGAAATTGCTAGCCAATGAAAGAAGAAAAACTTCACTGTCTCCCAAATCTCGGAATGAATGAAATTGGGATTTAAATATGATGAATTAAATCAAGTCAGAAAATGGAAAGACAATGGTTTTACTTATAGGCAAGTTGGAGAATGATTAGAAATGGGTATAGGGAAAAGCGATAGTGATTATTGTGTTTGGTTGAGGGATACTAAGAAAGTAAATGCTGAGTGGGTGATGTATAATAACGAAGAAAACGAAAAGTTAAAAAACTCTTATTGGAAATTTGGATTATGTGAAGAATGCCAACAACCTAAAACCGGAGAATCATTTTGTCCTTGTTCTTTTCAACTCTGAACTAGTGGTAGTCAGAGAATTGATGAATTTATTCAAGAATGACAGTACAAAGAAATTAACGAAAAACAGAGGTTAAAATGAATTCCTTATGAACAATTTACTAATATCGAAAAAATAGCAGAAGGCGGGTTTAGCAAGATTTATAAGGCTCAATGAAACACTCGCAATGTTGTTTTAAAAATTTTGAACAATTCTCAAAATTTAACTATTGATTTTTTGCAAGAAATTGCTTACAATAAGTTAACGGCCGATGGTAGCGATATCATTGTAAAGTGTTACGGAATTTCTCAAGAATCACAAAACAAAAACTACTTAATGGTCATGGATTGTATGGAGGGAGGAAACATGAGACAACATTTAAGTAGGGTTCGAGTAGATTTTCCAAATAAACTAAAACAGTTATGGCGTTTGGCAATTGGACTGAAAAATCTTCATAAACAGGAATTAATTCACCGAGACTTTCATTCAGGGAATATATTAAGCGATTATTCTTCATTTTATATCACCGATTTAGGATTGTGCAGACCTTTTAACGAGAAAGCAAGTGAAAAAATTTATGGAGTTTTACCTTATGTAGCTCCGGAAGTGTTAGTAAGAAAAAAATACTCCTTGGCGGCGGATATTTACTCTTGAGGCATAATAGCTTATGAAATCCTTTCGGACTTGCCTCCTTATTCTGATATGTCCCATGATGTAAGTTTAGCTTTAAAAGTGTGTCAAGGCTTACGACCTAAGTTTAATATTGAAATTCCACAACTCCTAAAAGACTTAATTGAGCAATGCTGAGATTCTGAACCCGGAAAACGGCCAACTTCTAGCAAATTGTATGACGTTTTGTTTAGGTGGAACAACGAAATTATAAGTAAAAAGAAAACAAAGTTTTATCAGCAATTTAAAGAAATAGAGAAAGGGAAATTTAATAAAAAACAACTTTCCATTTCAACTAATTTGATCTATCGAGTTCATTCCCGAGCAATTTACACCAGTCGCTTATTAGACTTCAAAAATCTTCCCGAGCCGCAAAACAGTAAAGAAATTAATGATTTATTCTATCGAACCAAACAGTTTGATTTAGATATTGTTTCCACCGAAGAAATTAATGAATTTAATAGAGAACAAACCGAGCAACGATTACAAGCTCAAATCCAAATTCCTCCTAAAAACAGTGATTAAAAATTCAGACTAGAAAAGAGAATTTATGACTATTCAATCAACCAAACTAATCAATATTTTGTAATCGTCAACAAAAACAACCCCGATGAGGCTTGTTTTTGTTTCCAAAGAAAAGTTAAAGCAGGCTGAGAAATTTTAACTAACTGGCCCGACGAACTAGAACTAGAATGCGAAGAAAGAGAAGATAATTACCAAGGCAAAATCTATAAGTAAGTAGTTAGTATAATTAAAACGAACGAGACTTTTACATTGTAAAATAAACATATTATGAATGACCAAGAATTTGAAAAATACTTAGAAAAAATTGAAGACCCCAATAATCATGAAGGAGTAAATTATGACTTGCCCGAAAGCCCAACTCCCTTACAAATTTCTAAGTTTAAATTATGTAAAAAAATGTTGGCTTATCAATTAGAAACTAATTCGTCTGATAAAGAAATCGCCGACAGAATTGATTTAAGCGTAGCTGAAACTCGTGATATTCTTTTCTGTTGCATCGAAAAATTTACTCTTGACAGACTATTGACCTATGTTAGTCGATTATTTTTTCCGTCTGAAATAAATATTACTGTGGAACAAAGAAATCCTAAAAGCCCTACTATTAATGCTTAAACTATTTAAACTGATTGGAGAAGAGTTTGTTAATGGTGAATTAAGGTGAACTTATGAAACAAAAATCACTTTCGATTACCAGTTGGTAGTTAAAATTACTATTACTAACCATTTTGAGAAAAAACATGGAGATACTATCACTAAAGAGTTAATCCTAAAAATGTTAGAGAAAATGGATAAACAAATCTTAAAGCCTCTTGAATATTATGGTAGACGGAAGCCATATAAATGAGAGACTACTTTAAATGAAAAAAAATATCGTTTAATCTTTTGATTTGAAGATAGTAACTCAGACTGACTTTGAATCCCGAAATTGTTATCCCATCAACTCAACCAAATCAAAGTCTAATTAAGCAAAAAAAACAAACCAATCTAACTTTCTCTATTTGCCGCTTCCAATTCAACTTAAAACGAACATTTTCTCTTTTTTTGTTTGTATAATATAAAATTAAATTTTTTTAAAAAAATGAACGTACTAAAAAATCCCGAACTAACAATTTCTCGAGAAGAACAAGTTTCTCAATCAAAACAAGAGGAGAGGGAATTGGTTTCTTCCTCCCAAGAACAAGAACAATCAATTCAGTCCCAAACTA